CATCAAAGGGGAGTGGTTATGCTTGTGCCACTGTGAGTGGCTACTGTATCCACATTGTCCCAGTCTTCCATCTGGTCCCCTAGGGGAGTGTCCACCAGGTAGGAGACCTGCATAAATACCGGGCAGGTAGCCCTCAATAAACCAGATCTCTGCTTAACCCTCAATACGGAGCTTGGTCTCGTACTTGGGGGTATTGCTTTCGTATGATTTACTCATTCGGCTGTTTGGTTCGTGAATGATTTTGTTTGGTTCCTGTTCGGCTAATTAGAACTGCTGTTAGCTGCTTCTTCATTAGGAAAGGGAACGTCCTCAGCGATATTAACCCCTCTTATACCGGGGTGTACCGTAACACAGTATAAATAACACAAGCAGAATACGGCAGCATACACACCTCAATTTTAAAAAAAATAGGACAGGCACTCTATGGGACATCACAATCCTATATCAGCACAGTGCTGCTAAAAGGTTGCCTACCCCTGGCCTAGGTGTTCTTTAGATATGTGGAGTGTTCAGCGCTAGGCTTCGTTCCCCCCTTAAGTAGATCCCTCCCACTCTTTTTAGGCTCCACCCCCTCTGCTACTTGGTATATCAAGAGGTGGTGGGATCTACTCAAGTGGGTGTAGCTAAACGCTGCACATCCCGCCTATCTACAGAGCACCTGGGCGGTCCTCACTCCACCAGGATCGGCTCGGTGGAGCCCAGTAGGGCTGGCCATCTCTACAACAATAAAACTCACCATAAAGTGGTGTGTATCATGTTATCACAGAGAAAAAAAATTGTAAAACCCATAATAAGGTATAACAAAGGCCGTCTGCGCCGAGTGAGATCTTGGCTCTTCATACTGAAAGAAGAGAGACACAGAACGGTGCATTGCAGACCCCAGGTAAGAAGTCAAGACCAGTAGCAATTGGTGTAGTTGTTATGGTGTTTGGAGCATTCCTTTAAGAATGGTAGAAATATCACATTGCTCAAAAGCAAAAACAGAAAAAATATGCACCTGCCTAAGGCATAGTAATGTGGATATCATTTATTCTGAGGAAACAAAATACTTTGAGTTACTTATAAAGAACAGATCAACAAGAACACAGGGCAGACCGTGGGGCTGTCTTCGTTGCAGTGAAGAGGTGCATATTTTAGACCACCAGAGTGGGATTTTCGCCACTGAAACACAGTTTTCAGATTCCAGTGTTTTTATTGTAGTATAATTCAAAAGAAGTGAGGGGGTGTGCAGGGAACGTTAAACTTACTGTACGCTTCACTACACCTGACTGGAACAAACAGGCCCTAACCTGCTACAATGTCCACAGATGTCACTTCTGTTAATTATCACTTATGGCTGAAAGCATTAAATAGAATATGAATGAGAAGGGGGGGAGCCTGGGATCTCCTCATTGAAAACCACCTCCAGTTATATGCCTCATACAGAGAATGCAGAACACAACTCCCATCACCACTGATGCTAAGCCTGATTAGAGTTGACTGCATATCAAGCAACCAAAATATACATACTGTACACTGCACTTTGGGTAAACTGATAGGATTAAAATGTGAAATTTAATACCAAATTATGTCGAAATGTAGGCCAGGGTGAGAATTAAAAGAGTTGTAGTCTACAGCAATGTCAGTGTTTATTCTGGTTTAGGGGACTATTCACAGGGGCTAGACGGTACCCACCTGTGCGTCCACTTACCATATGCATGAAGGATACACGTCATAGATCTTCCCTCTAATGATTTCAATGTCAAAGTATCAATGATGACATCGCTGTCACTGTATTAAACACCACGTTTTGACTTTTCAGTTTTAATACTGAATCACCCAGTTGTGGGCAGGAGTGCCCAGGAGACGACTTTCACAATGGTTTAACCCAGGATTTGGATGCTTCCAGCCGATCGCTGGCTGTCCACTGGAAGAAATAGTGCACTACAAGCTAGGGTATAGGTTTCACATCCTTGTATGATGACACCAGGACAAATTATATTAGCAGGATACTAGCACGCTCCGTTATTCCAGTGTTGGGTGAGCAAGGTGAAACAAATACTGCCTTCTCCTCCGATAAATGAATGTTAGGAGACAGATTGATGTATGGCCGGTTTCTCTTTTTATTTATGTATTTAAGAGGATAACCTTTAAAAAAAACACTATCTTTATATTTTCATTATAGTGATCAACTGTTTAGTAGACCTCATACCTATCACAGGTTGATGTAACTAATGATATGATGTGTTTTGTATTGAATAGAGATACAATATATAGTAATACATTTTTTTACACAGGTGACAATTGTAAAGCTATAACGCTGTGTTTTCACAGATACTTATAAAAGTTTGGTTTTTGTGCGTATTTGTTTATCTTCTTCTTTTCAACTAATAGAGGAGTCTTGCACTGCAATGTGGTTTTCCTGTTTTAGATGTGAAACTAGATTGGTACCATGCTCAGAACTCTAAGTAGTCTTAAAGGGACACTATAGTCACCAGAACAACTACAGCTTTTAAGAGAAAATGCAGTGTTTAAAGAACAGCCTAGTTATAACTCCATGGGCCACTCCTCAGATGGCTACTAGAGGTGCTTCCTGGGGCAGTGCTGCATAGTGTGACTAACATTCAGTGTCTCCACCCTCTGCATTGAGACACTGAACTTTCCTCATATATATGCATTGATTCAATGTATCTCTATGAGGAGATGCTGATTGGCCAGAGCTGTATTTGACTTGTGCTGACTCTGCCCCTGATCTGCCTCCTTGACAATCTCAGCCAATGCTATGGGAAAGCATTGTGATTGGCTTTAAACACCACATCTGATAATGTCAGCCAAGCAGGCAGATCAGGGGCAGAGCCAGCAGGAAGAGGCAACAGACTGGAATAAAAGTAAGATTTTACTGTTCTTATGAGAGCAAGGGGGGCTAGATAGTGTTTTTAACACTGCAGGATCAGGAATACATGTTTGTGCTCTTGACCCTATAGTGCTCCTTTAATCTGGCTCAAGCATGGTCTAATACAAGAAAATGTAGTCTCTAAACATCACAGAATAGAAACAGTTAAACAATGTGAATGAGAAAAACAAAACAAAGAAAGAGCAAGACTTATTGGCAATACCGTGCAGTACCTGTATGTGTAATCACATCGACTTGCCTCAGTCTGTGTGATCATCTCCGAGGTTCCATCGCATAAGTCATTACTGACAAGTGAATGGAAAGAGAGGGTAAAACTTAATAAAGAGAATAGGGGGAAGGAGATGGGGGAAAAAAACGTGGTAAAAAGGGTAAACTAAAAAGCAGAACTTTAGGCATGAAAATCAAAGAGAAAAAGTGAGTGAAAGGCAGGCATTTTAGGGAGATCTCGTAATAGAGAATCAATCTCCATGATGAATGGGTTAATCTAATCTAAAATGTAATTATTCCATGAGCTTGTTGGCTCCAAGAGAGGGGAGGTAGTCCAGAGAGTAAAACCAATTCTTGACAAAGTGTGAGGCTTAGACCAAGTTCTCAAACTTCATAGACTGTGGACTCCCAGACACATACTATGCTGTCTAGTTGTATAGGTCAGTACAAAATGCGTAGGCCGTTGCACATATGTTTGTATTTTAAACCCAAAAGTGAGGAAATAAAGGATCAAATTCAGGTTGTGAGATCCCTAAAGTTCTCCAAATTACTTAACTTCCTCCATTGCTTTTATCTAACCATTCAAATATGAGACACAGGAGAGGCATCATTCTGTCAGATTTACAAAATTATTTCTTGACCTACATTAAATAGTCTGTGCACCACTGAGTTTTAATAAGACTTTACAGGGAATATTGCATGGCACTAAAGTATAGAAAATTGGGGGGAAAGCTCTGCAAATTTCCAAATTACTCTGTACGCCAATTTCCTAAAGCGTACGACTTTCAGTTATTCCTATCAAATAAGGACCATAGTCCCCACTCCTTGGAAAAACCTTCAGCAAACGCCACACTTTCTGGGAATCCTGGCATTCAGGGATATAAGCATTCGACACCACTGTGTAAAATGTTTGTGTGATGTCTCCTTTAAACTGGTAAAGTAGAACCCTTGTTTGTAAGAATCACCACCTTGACCCATTCCTCTTTCACAAGAGAAATGTTAAATTCCTCTTTCTGTATATGTAATACTCTCGTGAGAAAATTATTTGGAACTCAACCACAGGTGAAAAAAAAAATGGATACTGTCACTTTAAGAAAATATAGTTTATTTAAATAAAGAAATTTAACCTTGGCAGTCTTCTGCAGCAATAATGTTTTAAAACCATAATGCATAAGATATGGGGTATAACTTCACGAGAAAATAGTAATTGATTGCAAATGGAAATAAGGAATGCTTAATTAGCAGCAAGCAGTATAGTCCATTAAACGTCAATATAAAGTTGACAGAGCAGGTGATTCCTGTAGTACTAAGTAACAGTCTTTTACCTTGAAGAAATATACTTGTTAACGAAATATATCCTGGTGTCAGAAGCGGTTGTAGTCATTAGACTCAAATAACAATATTTAATATTAATTTGGCAAATGACATTCAATAGAGATAGCAAGTGGAATCCCAGAGGGCAGACTTTAGTATTCCTTATCCTTCCCAGATAACTTAAGGTAAGAACCAATTAATAATTGCAATCACTGGAGAACTTATCTCTCCTTTCATTAATGATGAGAGTTGAAGTCCTTTCAAGAGGAGAATGAATTATGGTTCCCTGAAGTAAGTGAAGAGAGGCAGGAGTCCGAAGTTAAATCTGTTCCATGAGAAGGAGAGTGGAGTAGAGCATAGTCAGGATCAAAGTCAGAGGTTCGGTACGCAGGAAATCAGTTTAGCAGAGCTCTGTAGCGCAGCGGCAGCAATGTAGCAAGAAGCGAGAGCACATCAAACCACAAAGATTGATTGAGCCATTTGGATGCGGTCGAGGCTTCCTTTTGAAGGGAAGCACATGACGTCAGATGCATGGGAGGAGACTGACTGGTTAAACCCGGAAGTCATACGGGTAATGCCGATCGGGATGAATTCAACATGGAAGAGTTCCGAGACAATATGGAGGAATCCTGACCGCATATTTGAGGTTGAGGTAAAAAAAAGGGTACATGTTTGTCGTTTAAGATTAAATATAGAATTAAATTGCATTGAGATGGAGGGTAAGTGTTATAAGGATGCTTTTGATGGTTCAAGGTAAGGTATGTTAGGAAATGCAATAGTGTCCGGCCAATGTCAGGCATGTAAGTTGCCAATGGAGTGATGTTCTTTAGCCCAGACATATGAAGACCAGGAAGTATATTGTTTAAGTGGCCTTTGGTGGCAGCATGGAAGTCCAGGCTAACCATTGGGGCATCCATGTTCTAGGATCAGTGGTTAAGAGCATTTGGTGCTACAATTGTGCCATATGTGTAAGATAACTTTCTCAAATGGGTTTGAACACATTGCCTTTCTTTCCTGACTCAATTAAAGCTTTGAGAGAACCACCATGGGGGTTGGAGAACAGCACCCAAAGTTTGGCAGATTGTCCTGTGCTATCAAACCAGTAACCTAAACAAATGTGCGGCTGGGTAATTCACTTATGTGTCCATGAGTGCTAATCCTCCTTTGTGTCTCGAAAGGAATATGAGAGTATGCCAGTCTATGACATTTAGTTTCCCCTATGAACCACATAATGTAATGAAAATGAAGGTCTTTTTTAAAAGGATACAAGATCTCTCAATGGGTTGGGCTAAAACAAATGTAGGTTTTTGGGCACAGTGCCATTTTCACTATATTCCTCCTTCCAATTCATACAGCCTCTGGAGGCATTAACATCCGTTGTAAAATCTCTCTTTTTTTTTTTCATGGAAAAAAATCTAACAAGGTATGTATTGATACAGAGCACCGAGTTTGGGGGGTAGGGTTTTAATATATAAGTCAAATAAGAGATTTGGTTCTAACCAAATATCAAGGTATTTATTGGAACTCACTGTGTCAATTCTACAGTTCTTTCCACTGCCAGAGAAATGGGAAGTGCAATCACAGGGGGATCGGGTGACATAAACAAACAAAGTGACAGTAGAATTAAGAGCTATAAGTCTAGAGTATTTAAAAGCAGATCTGTAACTTGAACTACCATCTTTATAAAGACTGTGTGAATGAAACTGCCTTGTTTGCAGGTTACAATAGAATGCTATCATGTTATGCATGACAAAGTCCTTTTAAACTGGTTCTTAAAAACTTACAGTTACTGAACCTTATATTGACTGTAGTTAAAACAACCCAGTATAGGCTGTTACATTATATTTATATGTACACAAGCTCTTTCAAATTCTAGCTGTTTCTGTACCTTTAATTATATGGTTTGTGTAGCGGATACAGTTGTAAATCTATTGTGTAAAAATATTTCTAAACATACAACAATTTACTTCATCGTTTTGGTTTGGCTGCCATCGTGCACTATCCCATCCTATGTACGGTACTGATATGTCAGGAAATGTGATATACTTTACAGATTACACACGCAAGAAAAGATCTCTTGACACCTACACTTATATTGCTGACTACGCTGTCAGTTATACACATGCTTTAATTATCACAATTCTAGAGCCCACTCTAGATGTATTCTAATTTCTAATAGAAGTTTCATTAAATATTCACAAAAGTGAGAATTCAAAGAAAATTTCAAATTTAAGATGAAAATAGAATAGCTCGAAAAATGATCTAATCTAGCTATGCTTTCAATTTGGCTTTAAAGGGACACTATGGTCACCAAAACAAGTTTAGCTTACTGAAGCTGTTTTAGACTATAGATAATGCCCCATGCAATCTCACTGCTCACTTCTCTGCCTTTTAGGAGTTAAAGCACTTTGTTTATGCAGCCATAGTCCCACCTCCTTGTATGTGACTTGCACAGACTTCCTCAACGCGTCCTGTAAAGAGTCATCTAAAGTTCATCTACATTTCCTTTATTGCAAATTCTCTCAAATTTAGAATTTTTGATCTACTGCCCTGTTAATACCTTGCTAGACCATGCAGGAGCCTCCTGTATGTAATTAAAGTTCAATTTACAGAGCAGGAGATACAAACTATTAGATTGTTACATCTGATTAAAAATTAAACCATTTTTCTCTTGCAGACTGTGTCACTCACAGCCACGGGAGGTATGGCTAGGGCTGCATAAACAGAAACAAAAGTGATTTAACTGCTAAGTGGCAGAGAATTGAGCAGTGAGACTTCAGAGGCATGATCTATACACCCAAACTGCTTCATTAAAGGGACACTATAGTCACCTGAACAACTTTAGCTTAATGAAGCAGTTTTGGTGTATAGAACATGCCCCTGCAGCCTCACTGCTCAATCCTCTGCCATTTAGGAGTTAAATCCCTTTGTTTATGAACCCTAATCACACCTCCCTGCATGTGACTTGCACAGCCTTCCATAAACACTTCCTGTAAAGAGAGCCCTATTTAGGCTTTCTTTATTGCAAGTTCTGTTTAAGTAAAGGACCACTATAGTGCCAGGAAAACATACTCGTTTTCCTGGCACTATAGTGCCCTGAGGGTGCCCCCACCCTCAGGGTCCCCCTCCCGCCCGGCTCTGGAAGGGGGAAAGGGGTAAAAACGTACCTTTTTCCAGCGCTGGGCGGGGAGCTCTCCTCCTCCGATCCTCCTCCTCTCCGCCCATTCGGCTGAATGCGCACGCGCGGCAAGAGCTGCGCACGCATTCAGCCGGTCGCATAGGAAAGCATTTACAATGCTTTCCTATGGACGCTTGCGTGCTCTCACTGTGAAAATCACAGTGAGAAGCACGCAAGCGCCTCTAGCGGCTGTCAATGAGACAGCCGCTAGAGGAAATAGAGGAAGGCTTAACCCATTCATAAACATAGCAGTTCTCTGAAACTGCTATGTTTATGAAAAAATGGGTTAACCCTAGCTGGACCTGGCACCCAGACCACTTCATTAAGCTGAAGTGGTCTGGGTGCCTAGAGTGGTCCTTTAAGATTTTCTTATCCCCTGCTATGTTAATAGCTTGCTAGACCCAGCAAGAACCTCCTGTATGTTAATAAAGTTCAATTTAGAGATTGAGATACAATTATTTAAGGTAAATTACATCTGTTTGAAAGTGAAACTAGTTTTTTTTTCATGCAGGCTCTGTCAATCATAGCCAGGGGAGGTGTGGCTAGGGCTGCATAAACAGAAACAAAGTGATTTAACTCCTAAATGACAGTGAATTGAGCAGTGAAATTGCAGGGGAATGATCTATACACTAAAACTGCTTTATTTAGCTAAAGTAATTTAGGTGACTATAGTGTTCCTTTAAGCTAAAGTTGAATGACTAAAATGTGTCCCTCTAAATTTGAAATTCCCTTTGAATTCCCCTTATATTCTTAGTTTAGTAAATATATCTGTAAATGTATTCACACTTCAGACTTCTAAATGAATTTAACTGCATGCTATCCCAAATCTCAGTGTACATTTAAATAGCAGATAATGTTCTCCATTTAATATTTTTGGATATTCTTTTCAGATGATTTAATATCTGTGGATAAACTTGATAATTTAATACTTTGGAGAAAAAAAAATATTCTATAAAAAAAACTAAATATTTAAATATTTTTCAAAATGTTTAAATTATTTTAAAAGTTTTTACAAGAATATTAAATTGAGACCCATGTTAACATCACAGCAATGGTCATGAAAGTTAAAGGCAAACCAGTTAGGTGAGTTCTACTCTAACAAATTACAAATTTACTGTCTGCAGCTTAAAGACATCTCTAATGAGACAGAAATTAGAATTCTCGTAAATCTACTCAAACTAAATTAAGGGGGCACTTCAAGCACCATAACCACTACAGTACACCGTAGTCTCACAAAATATACAATAATTTGCCAAATTACTCCGGGAGTGTCCCAGGGCACTCTTAGGCTGTAGTGTTCTTTTAAAGGGGCACATCAGTAAAGAGACTGAACGATACCGTAAATTTTACCTAGGGAGACACGACAAGTTAAGTTTGACCTATACATTCCCTCTTTTATTCCTCTCTTTCTTCACAGCTCCTGTGCAATGCTTGAAATGGGAAATATACAATTTTTTCAAAGATTTGAGCCTACAGAAGAGGACAGCTTGATGAAGACCTATTCAAACATGTTTTGTTTTCCTGATCCAATAAATCTGCCTATGGCTTTAATTCCGTGAGTGCCTAAAGATTTTTTTTCTTGCTATTGCCGAACAGGACAAGACTGGAATGGATATTGTCATTGAGAAAAGTGGTCTGGTTGCTTATCGTTTCTCTTTAAGTCAACTTTGAAATTATCTACAGCTTTCTCAATGATAGTATGCAATTTTATCTGTGCAAAACCGTGTTGTTTTAAATCAGTAAAGGGGTCATTGGATTTCTTTAAAGGCTGTCTCTCTCCCCAGCACAACCCATTTATTTCTCCTCCCCTCTAGACAATGGGTATGTGCTGCTCTCCTCTTGCAGAGTCTACAGTGTGAGAGCGAAGAGCACATCACACAAAATGGACAATGAAGTTTTTATGTCTTTTACGCTTTATAGCACGTTGCTAATCCTAAAGATGTATCTCTTGGCTATAATAACAGGACAGATTCGACTCCGCAAGAAAGTAAGTCTCACTCTGTTTGCACAGATTTTTTGTACAAGGATTCTCCTCGCTGCTTTTTTTTTTTTTAATCTGTTTTTGCATGCTCTTCGGTTGCTAGAAGTTAAAATAGAACAGGCAGAGCGCTGTGTGCATTTCAAAACCTGCTTCTTACAGTACTTTGTAACCTCATTTGTCAGGGATACAAATTATGTACATGGTGGTAGTCAGGGATACAATTTAGGTACATGGGTGGTGACTTCATCATCAATTGGAAAATTAGGTCAGTGACCCATTCTTTACCTATATTTTTCATATTCAGGTAAATCTTGCAAAACAAATTTAAACTCTTCCAAATGTCAGAGGGGTCTCTACGACAGCACAAACTATTGCCTTTATTCTATTTCATGACACCAATGAAAACCACTAAAATGGCATGGAGACTTGGTAAATGGTCCCCCACCAAGGGGTTAAAAATCATCTGTTTTAGGTCGAGCTTTAAAAAAAAACAAAAAAACTCTACCTTAAAGTTGCAATGTTGGCACTTGTAGGCTCATATAAAAATTCTAATTTATTGGGTGGTATAAAATTGGTGGATTTTATAAACCCGCATTGTGATTTTAAAAAAAAAGAGAGAAAATAATTTAATTTTCTATTTTTTTTATTTTTTAAATAATGATGAAATTTATCCATAAACCATATAAACTCCCAAATGCAGGTTTTTAAATAGAAATATTTTTCTTAATAAGATATATTGGGGGCTTGTTTATAATGTATTAGCTTTTGTGGAAGTCTGCCCCATGGGATTTTGGGTAAATACAGCTGTTAAATAGTATATGCAGTAACGTGTTACAGAGTTCTGTGAATAACATTTGCAGTTGGCAAATAACTGTGTGTTGTGATCTCTTGCAACCAGAGTGCTCCACACAAAATCTCACAAGTATATCTTTGTGTTTATTGCCAATTAGAAAGTGTTGAGTCCCTGCTTAACATAAGGCTTTATTTATGTAGCATCAATGCATCTCACAAGGGAAGATCGTCTTGGTTTTTCTAAATGTTTAACCCATTTGTTTCCACAGACTAGTGCAGACTTCCCCGAACTCCGGCCCTCCAGATGTTGCTGAACTACAACCCCCATGATTCTCAGCCTATCTATTGCATTCGTAGAATCATGGGAGTTGTAGTTCAGCAACATCTGGAGGGCCGGAGTTTGGGGAAGCCTGACTAGTGTTTCTAAACCTCTTGTGGAGACCCCTGCATGTCTTAAAAAAAAAAAAAAAAGTACCCCTGCTCTGAGAAAGTAATTTATAATAATTTAAATTCTAAATGAAACATGAAGACACTGATATTAGAGAATAAGATGGTAAAGAATATTTTTAAAATGTATGACATAATGTGAATTATGTGTGTCAGGTGTGTGGAAACTTTGAGTGGTGTACCTGCCTAGAGCCCTGGCCATAAACAGGGTTATGTGCTGAACTCCAAATTTTTTTGCTAAATAAATCCAAATGGAAAAATCGAAAACAAAAATAAAGTTAATTTGGAAAAATTCTCGTACGCCGCAATAATTACAACTTTTTGCCTCAGTTTTTCCATTCAGATTTCATTTGTGTAATGTTTAGTTATTAACCCTGAGTGTTTGACCCTCTGTCCCCTCATAGTAAGTGTGCGTGCAGGATGAGTGTAGTGTGTGTGTGTGTGTGTGTATTTGGTGTGCACCTGCTGTGTGTAGTGTGTATGATGAGCCCCAGGTTGTCTCTCCCTCCAAACCCCAAATCAGCGGTATCACTTCCACTAATGATCTGCCCCAAACCATTCTCAATTAGTGTCCCTGCCGCTAACCAAACCCCATTAATGTCTTCGCATTAGCCCTCCCCATTAGTGTCCCTGAGGGCACACACTCCCAGTAGCAGCCCTGCCAAGTGCCCGTTGCAGTGTTAAAGGCAGATTAAAACTGCACTAAATCAAGCTGAACATCTTTTCAGGTGCACTCAAATGACTCAAATAATGCAATCAAAATAATTAAAGTCACAACATTGGGTAAAGTTGCATAAAATGGACCTGAAAACATTTTCAATGCATAGGGTGGGGGGGTCTTTAATAAGCTCATGGTAGCCCCATTCGGGGCAAAACCTTGTCTGGTCCAAATTAATTTTATGCAACTTTAGTGTGGAGACTTTTTTTTTTGCGGTTTATTCACTAAACTCTGAACTGCTAAGAGTTAACCAGGGAATTGAAAATCTTCAGATAGTCAAATTGGAGAAATTCTTCAAGTCAGCTATCTTTCCGTATCAGTTATTATGTGGAGGACGATGTGCCAACACTTTCAGTCGCTTGACTTAGCCTAAGGATTAAACCTGAATCCCGACACAGGATTAAAACTCTCAGACAATAAATACTGTCTAATCCTGAACCAAGACTTGGTGTGATAATACAGAAGGTTGCTAATGTATAACGTATCCCATTGTACAGCGCTACGGAATTTGCTGGCGCTATATTAATAATAAAATAATAATGTGTGCCTGTAAGGAATGTCATTGCAGCTAAAGGGACACTTTAAGCACCAGATCATTATATTTTAAACCCAGTCGTAGCTGTTGCACTTTAATATTATTGGGATGAGTAAATGAGCTCTGGGTAACAGTGAATGGTCGTGGGGGGTATGGGTTTCCTTAAACCATGGAATTGTCGGTTCACTGCAGCTCATCTGGTGTGTGTATGTAGGCACCTGGGTCGAGTCAGACGTGTGGTGTCTGTATATGGAAGTTTCAAGGCAAGTATGGCTTATTTGTCAAATGTGCAAAAGTGGGTAGGTACTAGCGATTATAAATTGAATACAGTAAATAGATATTAACAATTTTATCATTTTAGCAGCTAAACATACAAGTGACAAGTTTCTGTTATCACCAACAATTACAATACAAAGAAGATGATGTAGCGCTTATACAATGGAATAATTACCGTATGGTAAAAGGAAAAAACAATTCTCAGGAGGCAAAGTCCACAATAATTTTAGTGTCTTTAAATGTAAAATAGGTAAGATTTCCACGATATTATCTACACCTGTAAGAATAATGTAATGTAGACAGTACAAGCATATAAATTAGATGCTTAAGGAATATTTGTACACTCACAAGCGGATAGCTGTATACACAGCCAGGGTCGTACTTGGAGCATATGGCACCCGGGGCGGGTCCTGGGTTTGGCACCCCCCCCTCCAAGAAAAACCCTTGAAAAAACACCTACTAAATTGTTCTTTTTTTACATTTAAAAAAAAAATGTATTGAACAAATTTGTAAACTTTTCCAAACCCCTGCCCCCTTCTACAAAATCCCTGCACTCCCTCACACACAGGTACAAGCATACAGTCACACGCACACAGTCACATGCAGACAGTCACACATATAGTTACAGGTAGAGAGTAACACACACAGTCAGTTACACACAGTCACGCACACTGTTACAGGCAGACAGTCATACACATAGTTACAGCCACACGCACACAGGTAGACAGTTACGCGCACACACACACACTGTTACAGGCACACAGTTACACACTGTAACTGTGTGTAGGAGTCATCTTAGACTCTATGTGCAGGCGTGGTGTAGTAAGGGACTACACTCCCATAACAGCATAAGACCGGGAACCAGGTTGTCCAAAATTAAAATAAGATGTATTAAACAAATAAAAAATAAGATCCAATGTCCTCTTGTCACTGGGATGCGTTTTGCCACTACAGTGTGGCTTCTTCAACCGGAAAGTTCAAGTCTTTGAACCCATTTGGGACATTTTAATCTTACTACTATATTACAGACTGTACTACACTATTTTGTGCCTATCCACTTCCCTCTAAGATAAGAACATACATCCAAGGCAGGGCTGGGTCGCCCTAACGGACCCAGAATCAATTAACATTAGAGCTGGGTATACAACTCTCCGCTTGTGAGTGTACAAATATTCCTTAAACACCTAATTTATATGCTTCTACTGTCTACATTATATTACATTATTCTCACAGGTGTAGATAATATCGTGGAAATCTTCCCTATTCTACATTTAAAGACACTAAAATTGTTGTGGACTTTTCCTCCTGAGAATTGTTTTTTCCTTTTACCATACGGTGATTATTCCATTGTATAAGCGCTACATCCTCTTTTTTGTATTATTTGTCAAATGACTTAAGAGGTGTGGTGCAGGAGCATGTAGCCGAGAGGAGTAGGTTAAGATGAAGGGAGAGTTGGGAGTGATGATTTTTAAAAGTGAAACTTTATTTATTTATTTTTTTAAAATGTTCTACTAATATCAGTGTGCTCATTAAAAGGAAAACTATAGTCCCTAATTACCAATCATTATTTCAGGGCTATACACTCCCTTCTGTCCACCTCCCTTTGCTAATGAAAATTTAAAGCTCAAGAGAGACTCCACCCCCCTCGTTTTCCAGCTCTGACACTCCTCTGCTGCAGCCGCCCGCTCCAACCTTTAAAGTCATCAGCATGCCTCTAATCCACTGATTCTAATAGAGGATGGATTGGAGGTATGCATGCGCGGTCAAACACCTCACTCTTCCAATCAAATGCTACTATTAGCAGCATTCTATTCCCAGACTAAGTTTTACTCGTTCTTGAAGAGGTACACCAGCAGGGTACCTCCGCCAAGGACTGCTTCCTAGCTGGAATAGGGGATAAATCGCAGCACTTCTGCCCTCATTCGCTGTGGCTTTACTGGGGTCCTAAAACGGCTCTCCTGGAGCCGAATGGGGAACTCGCACTGGACGACACTCAGTGCTGGGAGCTCTAGTCCTTACAAGGACTTTTCTCGTTGAGCCCTCCACACTGGAACAGTGATTTAAGAATATCCCTTTCCCCTCCCAGTAACCAGACGACACATAGTTCTGGGAGTACAAGCTGGAATACATTAAATGGCAGCCACAACTGACCTTATATGCATGTCCCCATGAAAGGGGCACTCCCCCCTGGACCTGAGAGTAGACGACCGTAGAAACAAATACACAATTACATTGGTTATCAGATCCAGGACACCCCCATACAAAACAAGATAATCCCTCCCCTGTGCCTGTGCTAAACACCCCAAAAGTACCCTAAAAATACATTAAAAACCCACAAGTTACATCCTCTGATAGCCCTGATCTAGGTGATCAACATATCCAAAAATCATCCAGATCAGTTCAGGAATTTCCTGGAAGTCATTTGTTTGACCAACCGTCAGGGGCGGGCTGGGCCGGAGGGCAGGGAGGCAATTGCCCCCCAGGCCGCCCTAAATTCTGTTGGGACCGGCCGCTACAGGGCCGGCCCTTTAAATGCTGCAGCCGCCTGAGCGCTGTGTTTAGAGCAGCACATATTCTCCCCTGTAGCAAGGCCGAGCTGCTGTGCTGTCCGCGGTGCCGGCCGGACTGATAGGAAGGTGCACACTCAGTGTGCACTTCCTGTCAGTCCGGCCGGTTACAGGAAACAGAAACTCCGCGCGGAACAGGAGTTTTGTTTCCTGTCACCGGCCGGACTGACAGGAAGTGCACACTCCTTCCTATCAGTCCGGCCGGCACCGCGCACAGCAGAGCAGCTCGGCCACGCTACAGGGGAGGGAGGAAGGGGAGGGGGGGGGAATTAAGAAGAAGGGGGGAGGGGGAATTAAGAAGAAGGGGGATTAGAAGGGGGAGAGGTGGGGATTAAGAAGAACAGGGATTATTGGGGAATTAAGAAGAATAGGGGGAGTAAGAAGAACACAGGAGGAGGGGGAAGAGTAAGAAGGACACAGGGAGGAGGGGAGAGAAGGGGAGATGAGGAGAACACAGGAGGGGGGAGGTGAGAAGAACACAGGGAGGGTGGGGGAGTGAGAAGAACACAGGGAGGGTGGAGGGAGTGAGTAGAACACATGGGGGGAGGTGAGGAGAACACAGGGGGGGAGTGAGAAGAACACAGGGAGGGAGGGGCTGAAAAGAATACCGGAGGTTTGGGGGAGGGGGGATGAGAAGAGCACAGGGAGGGTGGGTGGGTGTGAGAAGTGACTGCTAGGGAAGGGGGGGGGAGAGACCACTAAGGGGCAGGGGAGAGCTCTATAGGACAGGGGGCAGGACAGGGAGCTCTTTCACACTACGCGCACACACACACAATGCATCCCTACACACACAGAAACACAACATGCTTCTCTTACATCCAGAGAAACACACAATGCATCCATTACACACAGACAATGCATCCTTTGCACACATACACAGAAACACACAATGCAAACACACACACTGCTTCTCTTACATATACACAGAAACACAATGCATTTCATACACACACCTTGCATCCCTTATGCATACAAACACAGATTCACACAATACATCGTTTATACACAAACACACATTGACTCCACTACAAATACACTGCATCACCTACACAAACTGGTATCCCTATACACTACATACCATAAGCACACACATTAGATCCTCTACAATAACACATAACACATCCCCTACACACTCCACTCCCTGTGAGCGAACTCATGGGTGGAACATGTAGGTGGACTTTTAGGTGGGCCTTATGGGCATACTCACCGTCAGGCCCTGGGACCCAGACCTTGAGCTGTTTAAGGAGCCCCCAAAAAATGGAGCTGCTTCCCATTCTACTAGAACTTTGAATTTTGTGACCACAGTTACAAACAGCCTTCAGAGATCCTCTAATACACCAGACCAGTGGAGCCAAACCGCAGCCCCTCATCATCCTCATCTGGTTGTAATTAGGCAATCTAGTATATTATTAGTGACACTAATCTATAATTTACCTCACATTAAAGGGACACTATAGCTTAATGAAGTGGTTCTGGTGTCTATAGCCGGTCCCTGCAGGCTTTTTAATGTAAACACACACTGTGTCTACACAGTGTCTACTGGTGACCCACAGGAGGGGATTGCACTGCACTCTCCTCCTGCCCAGACCTGTCTTTACCGCAGTGCAAGCGCCCTCTGCCCCTAATTTACAGTGGCTCACACTCACAACAAGCAGTGCCTGGAGCCCTTTGCAGCGATGGGAACAAAGAGGTTCTGCGGCAGGTGGCCGTCCTGCAAGCATTACATTAAACAGCTGTTCCCCATGCAGCCACAGGTGGCGCTGTGCTGGGAGAATGTGATTACTCTTCACTTCCTCCCAGCCTACAGCGCAGCGCATGGGAGAGGGAGAGGAGGAGGCATGATTTAATCTTACAACAAATCCATTCAGCAAATCTTTGGGGGGATCAGCTCTGTTTGCACAGTTTATTGGTGTTTACTCTGATGTCTGTATTAATAGTGAGGGATGTCTAAGTAGTAACATCAGTATGTGTCAGCAGGGCCAGACGTTGGGGTGTGCAAGCTGTGCGGTCACGCAGGGTGCCATGACAACAGAGGCGCCCGGCGGCCAACACAGCTCACAATTTAAATGATTCACTGGTGGTCCACTGGTGCGCACCAGCAGTAGGTGCAGTCAGATTATATCCACTCCCTCATGGTTCTGGTGCTCAGTTAGTGAGTCAGAGCACAGGCTCAGAGATTCTCAGCCTGCGCTCTGACAACCCTGAAAGTCAGAGCCGTGAAGGAGCGGTTATGGCAAAGAGCTACTGATTAGCATAACATCAATATCCGTTATAAAACCAGGTGGGCATGGATGGTGAACTGATTTGGTGGTGCAATAGGCCACTTGACTGGCCTAAGGCTCCCAGCCCTCCCCTGCCAACCGTTAAAGAGAATCACAGCTAAGTGCCGCTGGGGACCAACTGGGCACTGCGAAGTCTTCATGTCGAAAATAGTTTTGAAAATAGTTCCAGGGCTTTCGCCGCTAAGTCCCCCCCCAAAGTCCATTCGTGGTTTTGGTCCATGCGAATGGCTGCCAGGGAGATAGCGTTCGGTTCTATGCGCACTAATGGAAAGTGCTGAACCTGGGGGAATAAAATATGGGTCTTTACAGTCGCTGACCTGGCCCATAGTCGGTGGACAGGTGCTTGTGGCAAACTTGTGAGGACAGGGGAGGTTGTCACAGGCGCCTCTATTGGCTGTCGTGAAGAATGCAGGGTTAAAATAACAGTACCACTGCACTCGGACCACTTAATTGAGTGCTCATTTAATATATTGGCTATTTAGTTATGTTAGGTAGAATATTGGGCAGCTGGCGTAATTTTTGTAATGGAAACAATTCATTTAGTGCAGTTGGCAATATCCAACCTCTGATACTCCAGCTGCTGTGTACATCCACTCCCAACACATTCATCCAACTCTGTACTGATATAACCAGGGCTGAATATAATCCTTATGCAGGCAATACCTCGATTTTCTGCACAAATACATTTCACCACACTAGTCAAATTCCGGTTAATTTTTAATCCGTGACCGATCGATTTAGTTTGGGCGTAGTAACAGGAATTTGATTTGCTCATCACAGGTGAAAAGGTTTTGTACACAAGTCTAGCAATAACCCTTGGATGTCCTCTCATTAGTAAGCTGCTGTTGTTCATCTTTTTGTCAACACACAAGGATGAACTATTAAAGAAACAATAAATCTGGGCTGCTACAGAACTGAAACTCGTATGATCCTCAGCCTATGTGTCCAGCCGCTCCACATTGTTTGTGAAAAGTCGCTATTCCACTCCCTCTAGCATATAAGCTCATTGAGCAGGGCCCTCAACCCCTCGGTTCTTCTGTGTCCTTGTCTGGTTACAACTACATGTCTGTTCGTCCACCCATTGTAAAGCGCTGTGGAATTTGACGGCGCTCTATAAATATCATAATAATAATATTCAACAGATAATATGCAGAAAGAGAGGTTAATGCATATGCCATTTAGACTTGACATGTTTTTGTTTACTGTAGCATCATGTTTTTACTATTTGCGGGATACAGTCTCTTACGCTGTCTTTACATGTTGCAGGTTAAGTAGTCAAGGGGGTTCTTTAGAAAGCCACTGGGTGCAACGTTATTAAAGTATCACTTGTTGTACGCATTATCCTGCCTCTTACGGAATCTTTGATCTGCTAATCTCGTTGAGTGAAAAGCTAATCCTACTCTCAGACACAAACTCATAGCTTCTGTCTATGAAAGGTTATGTGCATCTTCTGACCTGCTCTGTATGTACAGCTATATACCATTCTCGCAAAGGATTGCTGACATCAATGTGCTTCTATAATAAGGAAAAAATGTTGTCGCCCATCGCAATGCATGTACAAGCGTTCTGTTTTTCACAAGGTTTGAACTTTGTCCATACCCCTTCTTAGTTCTGGTGCATAGCATGTCGCTTTGGCGGCACTCAAGCTATTTTCTGCTAACCGATGTCACCGCGCATAACTAACCAGTATTTATAAGTACGCAAACCCAGAGTTACAGGGCTTAAAATAAATTCCTCTGTTAAGAAAACAATCTAAGAATTATTTTAAAACTCTAAGAAATATTTATATTAAAAAGTATGTCATAGGAAATACTAGAATGGTTATTCCAAAAAAAAAAAGAGAGAATATTTGGGAATTCAAAGTAAATTTCAAATTTAACATTTAAACTGAAAAAATTGAACGTGAAAAATTACTGCAGGTCAGTTATGCCTCCAATTCAACTAATTTGGTCCTAAATTTTATTCTCAGAATTCTCACTTTACTAAATAGCCTTGTGATGGTTCTTAAAAATAGTAATCACCCTACTTATGCATCTTAGTAACCCTTTGGGGACAAGAAGAGAGTAAAATCCTATGAGATCATGACAACTCTGGTGCGTCTGTTATCCTAGTGGGATAACTTTAGTTTTTGTTTTTAAAATTCAAAAAGTTAATGAGCAATTTTAATAATGTAACAAGAAAGTTTTTGTTTTCTTCATCCTGAATAGCAATTATAAATGCTTGAATTTAAAAAGTATTTTCAGCTAATCTGGAAAATGTTAGGTGTGTGTTTTTTTTATTTTTATTTTTTTTATTTTAATTTTTTTTTACGTTTTACAAAAATTGTTAATATTATCTAACTATCTCAAAGTTTAAAATAAATGTTAAAACTGATGCAGAATTGGTTAAGAGCTGCAGTCAAATTGTAAACTAGATGAAGTTTGAATTTACGTTAAAAAAATTCACTGGTGCAAGTGGGTAAGAGCCCGCTTGGTGTTGGCCAGCAATGTCTCCGCTTCCACTCGAGGAATCAGTTGTGAGCCGTAAAACCCCTTCTATCCATCACCATTAATGTCATGCTAGCTGACAACTGCTGCTTAGTGACAGGAGTAAGGGAGAATTTTGTATTTCTCTATTCGTTGCCTGGGAGCACCAGTGGATGTGTGGTAGATGTGAGTAATACGCCTATTACCCTGAAACAGAATAACCATATTTGTCCATATCGTAAGAGCTTGTGGGGACATCACTTTCAGGTGCCACCTACTACCATCCCCAAAAATGTATACAGTTGTCTATCTGTTACTCCACAATTTGGAAGGACAAAAGAAGATAAATTATTTTCCAATCCCTCATGAATTAAAATAAGAACCACAATTAAACCCCTAAAAACGTAGCGATATTCAGCAAAATTAAAATTCTATAAAATGGCACATATATGCACTTATCATACCAGGAAGCTGCCTTCTTTCAAATCTGGCATTGACAGAGCAAGAACATTGGACCAGAACATTGGACAAAATATACAGTTACATTAATAACAAAATATATATATATATATTTTTTTTTTAAATGTCTTTGTGCATATATTCGTAATATTCACGTCTATAATAGTATATATTGTTCCCAGCTGCCAAAGCAGTTTTTCTTCCACCCACACCCTGCTCTCAATGTTAATGCTGGCCTAGTAGCAAAAAATTGAGGGTCCCAAGGATATATGCTTATAATACAGATTATGTTCAAACAGGATGCATACCATCTGTCTTCTTTCACCAGCGGTAAGACAGAGGTAAATAACTTCCATGTCTTAAATCAGAGCTTTAATATCACCCTTCATGAATGGTATAGCATAATCTGTCCACCCACTGTAAAGCGCTATGGAATTTGTTGGTGCTATATAAATAAGAACATAATAATAATCTGATGCACATTGCTTCGCCATGCTTCTCTACAACTGTGGGGATCCTCTATTGCGGGGGAGTTTGTCTTGAAGTGGTGAACTTGTTCCTGTTTTTAAACCTCCTTTTGGGTGATGGCACTAAATGGGAGAAATACGTAATATATATTTTTATTCAAAATAGAGATAATCAATAAATAGAAAGCATTCTCTGTTGATTGTCAGTTGTTGGGATACCACTCTCGTAACTTGATTTGGCAGAAAATACTGGGTGCTGTAATCGAAAATCAGCCGGAAGGACAAGAGTTGAAATCGCTTCTCTATAACTGTGTGTAATAAGTGACGTAGTATCTGCGAAGGAGTAGATGCACGCCACCCTGTCTGCTACTCGATAACTCCTGCATTACACATTAATGTCCAATCTCTGTGTTTAATCAAGGCTGTGATAAAAATTGTGAGTTCTGTGGGGGCTGTGTTGCTGAAAGAAAGCAGATATGAAAGGAGGATTACTCCCACCACCATTAGCTAAGATGAGGAGGAACACCCATGAACACCAGCCGTCCATAAAAAATAAAAAAATTCAGCATGCCATTTGCAAAACAGAATTGCAAATTGTGACAAACTCTACACAACCATCCAGATGAACTTTGTATATTTAATACGTTCATGGTACCTGCATGTGGACCTAGATAGGGCAGGAAATAATGGAGGCTTTCAAATAAAATTCTCAATTAATACAATTTTAAGTACAATTGCCGTACATGATCCCAGCATCCAATGCTTCCTAATTAGAGGCACTGAATTGGCGTAGGGGAGTTGAGGAGTGGGACCATCACACAGGTGGACTCCAGGTTAGTAAACCCTTTTATTTACATGTATTGGGGAGACTCCTGGCCACCCTCTGCCTTCTCGACACTCCACCATAATTAATAAATGTGTTCTTTATCATCTTTGAGTGTTCCTGTGCAAAGATTGAGCTTTGACAAAGTTACTAGAAGGTCAGTCCAACTGGATGCAGAGTAGCTATTATTCCCAGAATACTTAGAGGATGCCTTCTGGCACTGGAACCTGCTATTTCCTTAAACAATGAATATGCAGAGACTATTTAGCATTCCATCTGGGAGTATCTGCATAGCATATGGATCTTATCAGAATACAGTAAACATTCTGCAGATCTTACACACGGAGAGTCATGCAGTACATATAGTCAGAGAGGATTATTCCCTAAAGTCTAAATTGTCAGCAATTCATCGTGTATTAGGCTGAACTCGATGGACGCATGTCTTTTTATCAGCTACGGAACTATATAATTTCAAATTTTAGATCACAAATGTAAAACTCTTCCTCCCAAAAAGTCTGCGCTTTTTTTTTTGTTTTTTTTGTTTTTTTAAAGATCGGCTACTTTGGCCTCAATTTGAATTTCCAGCAGTTCAATCATGATTGAATAGCACTCACAGTATGTTACTAGAGGTCAGGAAGAGTTGTCCTACCTAGAGTTTTTATTTGTGGGTTTTTAATTAATTAATTTTTTTAGATATCCAAATTATGAACATCGCATTAGCCTAACTAAACAATTTTACAAACAACTGTCATAAGGTTTTTCCTGGGTCTCTACTGTCCCTGTATAAGAGTCCTGCTAAAGAATCTAGTAAATTGGGGTGCAGTTTTCTTTGGTCCTATCCAACAATGGAGACCCACTGAGAATGGCATAAAAACTGTTTTGTGACTTGACTCCCAGGTTAAGAATTTATATACATTTTGGGAAAATCCTTGATGGTTAGAGCAGTGTTACTGTCACTGCCTTAGAACAGGGAAACCGGGTCAGACCACCTCCTTGGACAAGACACTTACCACAAATCTACGTAGATTGTAAGCTTGTTTGAGCAACTCTCAAATATCCATTTTCTATCATTGCAAAGCGCCGCCCTATTTAAAGGCTAATAACCATGCTGGCGTCAACAAAAAGAGTTAATCCAAAAAATCTATACAGTTTTTCTCTCAAACTTCCATTAATATAGAATCTAGGAAATCACAAAAAAAATAATAATAAAAAAAGGTTCTTTTTTTTTTGTGTGTGTGTGTGTGTGTGTGTGTGTGTGTGTGTGTGTGTGTGTGTGTGTGGTTGTTGTGATGTGTTGACCGTGAAAATGTTTTATTCTTACAAAAAGGCCTTGTGATGGCTTCTGGCCTTAAGATAACTCTCACAAATCGAATGTGTGTCCTGAACTCTCTTTAAGGACGTTGTCACTGAAATCTATCAAATCAAATCTATCAATACACATATATATACATACACACATGAATAAACCTATAAATGTTTACGTGGCTATAAATGTTTGTTTTTCTAAGTGAGAAGTCGCCAGTATAAGAGGGGGAAGGAGAAGGAGGTTGTGGGGTGGTTGCTATTTCGTACAGGAAATATCATATGGGAAAGCTATGTCTAGAGGCCCACTGTGAGGTTATAGTGGAAACCGAGGAAAAATTCTGTACTTGTGTTTATATATAAGCTCTATATTCAGCACTTTCCTGTCTTCCAGTCATCAAGAAGGTTCTTTCTCAAACATTCCTGTGCAAACTCCTCTTGGTTTTTCAGTAGTTTGGCCAAAGTACTAGAACTCTGACGTTTGTAATGTATTTTCACAGTTAAGGGAATGCTGAAGGTATGAGAACACTCCTTTTGGAATGCAAAAAAACAGACAAATAATTCTAAAGTACACTCATAAGGCTCACGACTCATGTGAGACGTGTCCCCCGCTTGTTGGCCCTAATGAAAGCGCTAGATGCTTTCACGGCCTCCTGTTTTTGAAGTTTCTTTCCCAGGAATATCTGTTTTTTGCAGGTCTAAGCTGCCAATCCGTAGAGGTCTTCCAGGCCAGTTTAAGGTGGAAAACCATTGTGAAACCAGTTTGCCTTCTTACCGGAGAACTGTTGCAAGGCACACACAAGATGATATGATGTTTGAGTAAATCTTTAACTTTACTCTCCTAATCCTGGGAGATTGCTTGATAAATTGTGGAAAAAGAGAAAAATTCAGTTTTAGAAATAAGCGGGATCAGCCTGATATGCAAATAGAATGTCTTTGGAAAGGCACAAGCAAACAAATACTTGTTTGAGACCTAACTGAAGGGCAAGTGACCGTTTGTTCTTGTTCTCCACGTTCGTATAGTCTTTGTTTTTTCTTTAAAGCATTTACTGACCATATCATGTACTTAGACACATTGAGCATGGGCATAAAGGGTTATTTGGTCTGGGCCCAGAGGAATTTCCAAAATACATTCTTAATGGCATGGGTCCTATTTTTATATAGATCTTCACAAAGTACACAATTTTTAATTTTAGTTTTCTAATTTTTTTTTTTTTTTTTAAGTAAATCCGTCTTTGGTTTAAATATATCTGTCTGCCAATTTAGTAAACTTATAAATTACTGCTGGGTTTATCTTGTGAATGTCAGCCATATTCCACATCAGGAATGCATGCACAAGACACAGAATCAATGTCTAAACACATACTGAACTGTGACTGCCATTTCCAAAGACCCTAGGCCGCGCTTCGTAAAAATGGAGAGAGAGAGCAGTGCTTTATTACCCAATAATACAGTCTTTTTAAAGTAAAGGTAAAGGGTGTTTGCCTGAGAGGTATTGTTTATATATGCATAGTGTGGGTGTGAATGTAATTCGATAGTTGTGCTTAGAGACATTGTGTTAAAATGCTGTTAGTGTGTGTGAATGCAGTTTAGAGTGTTAGAATGTGTATAAATGATGGTTATATAGTGACTACCATGAATGTGTATAGAACTGGAATGGTGGTATATCTTATCAATGTGTATCGGTATGATTATAAATACACCCCAGTGAGGTTAGTAAATTAATAAGGTTGACACAAAATCTCAAACACATTGAGAAAAGAGAGATTACTACTTCAGTTTTCAGGAGGCCTAACAGCCTACAAACCGCAAGATGAGATTATCTATGGTGTAATAAGGAGCCGAGCCAAAAAATGCAATCAGTTGAAAGTAAGGTCAGTGGAATATTATATTGCTAAGTAGCTTTATTCCGCTGATATAGAGGTTATAGGGAATCTCAAAGAAACAGAACAATACTCAAATGGTTGGGAGCCCCTGTAAAAAAGATTGAGGAAGGAAAATGCCCAAACGAATATCGAAATTCTTCAGACCTCCCAAACGTGTCATAAATCATTGCTCCAGTAATCAGACTTAAGTATACAAGTAAACTACCCTCTAAGGGTGGGTCTACTCTATAGGTCCTAATTGCTAACAAATGAGTATAAATGCCAAAACTTCTAAATCCCATCTAACTAGTAACCAAATAAAGAGGAGCGATAAGGAGGAAGTACCTCAGCTGTGGAGATGCTGTAGCCCACTTGCCTCTTTGGTTAGTCATCTGTGTTATGAGGTTTCTTTTTAAATAATCTAATTGCAAGGAGGTGGCTTGTAGATCCCTCCTTGTAATCAGACAAATACTGAATGAAGGAAGTTCATTGGATATTTTTCATCCATGTTCACTCAGTTGCTCAGTCATTCCGTCCATATTGCATTTGGTTCATTTATTCGTGTTTTGTACATTTTTAACAAATTTCACGAAATACGGACAGATTTTGCATTCGTCTGAACACAAATGTCCAAGTCTAGTTTGTCATACTAACCTATGTTCTTCGGTTTACATTGTGTATCTAGCACAGTGTAGTTTGTTGATGTTGTACAAATAAATGCTATTAATGAAAAGAATTTGCATGTGCCAGATAACCTATTTATCTGCCTGTTACAAGGCTGAAGAGGAAAAAAGTCTTGTATAGGTCTGAAGGGTTGCATTTTATATAGAGTTCTAGGTTTATTTTTTAACTGAGAACAAAGTGGATGAGCCGATAGGCTTATTTATACCTCACTGTTCTGGAGGGGTCATTCTGTTCTGGAGACTCAATTTAGTCTATACTCCATTCCTGAGTTCATTATCCACTGTAAGTGGCCTACTAAAAGTGGTGATTCTACAATTCGAGACTTTATTCTTAAATTGATATTTTGTACAATTATTGTAGGCCAGGTCACTAGACTGCAAGTCGCTGGAAAAACGACCATAAGTGAACTCCTTTATGTAGTTGTCAGGACTAATAAACCACTATTATACCTCTCTTCTTAGGCATTTGCAAATCCGGAGGATGCGATGAGACATGGAGGTGTCGAGTTTTTTCGAGAAGACCCTGATGTGGAACGATATCGTAGGTAAGCTTGCCACAATTCAAAATCATATTCTCCATTTACAATGCAGAAAATCGGTCTCTGGTCAATAATTAAACATTCCCTTAAGGATTGGTACAACGTGTACTTAGAAAATTTATTCAAGCAACATCCCCGGGACGTATTTGAATACAGAGCAATCTGAATGTACTTTTCCTGGTTAAATACTTTGTTGTTATTATTGTATGGCATGAGAGCGCAATAAGCTGTTAAATTGGTCTTGTCCTCCTACTGTCACATAAATTTATTTTATTTTTATTAGTAATCTATTTTACAATTTTTTTTTTTTTTTTTTAAACCTCAATATAGTTTTCATACTGTGTGCTTACGTATACAGTTAGACAAAATGAACAGCCAAGAACAAACTAAGTTCATTGTGGCAAGTGTCGAGAGTGATTCGAAATTCTGAGTAGACTTATGCCGAGTTGTTGTAAGTTTTTTTTCAATAACTTTATTACAAACTCACAATGAAATAACATTAAAGTGTACCTTCACACTTTCAATGAGAGAGACTAGTTTGGGTATAACACTCGAAAACAAAATGACCAATAGTTTCAGCCTAACTTAAATGTTTGGGTTTTTTTTTGCTCAATATTTCAAGCGAATCAACTAGTTTGTCTTGCGCGTGACTGATAATCGGACATTACCTTGCATTGGTATGTGACTCCGTTGGTTATTGACCTACCTGAATTCTTGCTGTGTTTCACCTTTTAGTCTCTGTACGTGATTGACTGCTAAATAATTAGCAGAGTTTAGTTCAAATTGCTCTCCTTTTATGTATAGAAGTGACATTTAAAGTGGAACTGTCCCTCCTCTGGCCTTTACATCATAAAACCTTGACAATCACCTATAATTAGTGTTAACCTTTCGCCATTTAATGCGCCATGTTCTTTTAAATTTATATTACATGTTTAGCAAATTGCCTCTTAATCCAGTTCAGACAAGGTAAAACCAGAGCAAACATTGCAAATGAAGAGGTGAGACAGACACACTGTTTCGTTCGTTGTTTGTTTTCTCTACACTGAATGCCAGATGCAAAGGACAGAGCTAATAATAATAATATTTGTCAGGGAGCCAACATGGAGCCGCCCAGTAACAGGATAAAGGATTGTGGATCTCTACATTAAATTGTATTTTTCACACCACATAAATACATATTTAAAAAATATAGGGATAAGTAAATATAATAAAAATACTGGAACTTGACAGTGACGCTTTAATTTTGACCTCTCCCCAAACTGGTATTGCTCATTTAATGCAGAAATATCAACTTATTTTTTTTATCTTTTTTTCTTTTTTTTTTGCAGTTTTTTTCATTTTTATGCTTGAAAAATCTTGTTTCCTTTTAATTACATCAGCCCCCCCTACAGTGTAGGTTTAGGGGTCTTTTTGATGGGATCACTCCTTGAAATGCCTTTTCACAGCTGTTTATGACCTGATCTAAGCTGTTTAGACAGAGGGAACATTATTTTCCTTGCGCAAATCACTTTATAAACACATTTACTGATGTTTAAACACACATCGTAGTGTGTTTTTAATAGCCAGGGAGTTCTGTGTTTATAGCGAATTACTGTGACTTTTCTTGCTGTTTAACACTGTTATTGCATGGTTTATGGATGTGAAGCTTTGAAGTTAATTCATACACATACCATAGTTTAAAAAAAAAAAAAAAAATGCTTTGGAGCTCTGGGATATCCATAATGTTGACCAAAAATGCTATGGAGCTCTGTGATGCACTACTGTGGGTTTTTAAACTGGAGCTCAGTGATACACTAGCATGCTGTCCAGTCCAATATTTGAAATGGTTTTATTGTGGAGCTCTGTAAGATACATAATGCTGCAAGCTTCACTGCTGTGGAGCTCTGTGCTGAACAGACGCTTAGAAGAGATAAAACAAAAAAAAAAGAGTGGTTCATTAAATTGCAAATTGGAATCAAAGTGGTAACATTTAAGAATAATGTAGCCAAATATGTTTGGATCAATTTTGCCACTTGGGTTTCAATTCACTAAACCTCAAAATTTTGTGAATAAGACAGAACATGACTTCAAGATGAATTTAAATTTTTAGACCAAAATAGATTGATTTTAAAAAAAACAGCTGAGAATTATTCTTATTCAGCTCATTTTGGGTAAAAATTTGAACTCTCAACATTCACACTTTAGTGAATAATTGTCCGTGTTTTGTAAAATTTGCCTAAATAGGTTGTTTTAGCAGATTCTGTACAGATTTTAAACAAAGTGTGGATGCCTTTTTGAAAAAAAAAAAAAGAATTTTCTTAAATATAATAGTTTAGTTTGTTGATCCAAAAAGTAATCTATTTGCCATTTTGGAGTTAAATTAAGGCAAGTAGGAGAAACCTATTAATGTACAGCGTGCAAATACAAACTGAATGTAAAGGGTGTAATCACCACCCCCACAAGTGGTTTCATATCTCAAAGAAGTACCTGCACTCGTATGTAAAATGCAAATCAAATTTTATTACACAATCAAAGATTAAAATACAGTGCGCATTAATCTTTATACACCCATCGAGGAACAATAATCAAATAGTTGATATACAATGAATTTATACTATATGCATAATTTCTCGTATATAGTCTATAAACAAAACACAGCAAAAAACTCCCCCACTGTAAGAAAAATTTAAATTAGAAATAAGCAAATTCATAAATTGCTGTACAAGATCAAAAAGATCAGTCAAAAGAGGACAGAAAAATCACCCAACGTTTCAGCACAGACAAAAAAAAATAAATCACCCAATGTTTTGGCACATTTTAACCATTTTGATTACTCCCCATTCCAATTTGGGGAGGAAAATTGGAAGTCACTTCAAATTAGGATTTTATTTTTTTTTGCCGCCATTTTGAGTATATATATGTGTGTGTGTGTGTGTGTGTGTGTGTGTGTATGTATGTATGTGTATATATATATATATATATATATATATAATATCATTTTTTTATTTTTATTTAAACTTGATGGATTTGAATCTTTTATTCCAGCCTATATTAGTATTTAAGTTGGTATTTGAAAAGGGTAACGTGCAATTTCAAACACAGCAGGAATGTTTACTTTATCGAAATCTTCCTTTCCACCCTTGAGCCGATCTAATATCCGTCTCTGCCGTCTGTATCCACTCTAAGCCCTCCCTCCCCCAAAATGCAGACCCATTAGGGCCTCCAAATGTCATTAGTAAGTGAAGCCCTGAAAACCACTATGTCTGGGAAGTATTAAAACCTGGCAGTTCTTAAATGTTAATGTGTAGTTTGGCCAACACCCACGTCATGAAGCGATCAGTGGAAATATGTTTTATTTTTCCACAAGGTGTAATGCAATCTCGTTTTTCACTTCTTTTGGACAAATTCTAACACACTCCGAGGCAAGTCACCGGAAAAAAATTCTTAAATGATTGCTGGACCGGATGACTGTGGGCAAGGTGTGGCAAAAGAAGGCATCTGTACCCCGAAAATATACAATAGAGGTGCAAATATATATAATGAAATAATAAAAATAAGAGCAGCTACACGCATCCACTAGCGACTATGAATGAGTGTAAGCTCAAAGGTTTAAACAAAGCGTGAGCGCTCTTTACTCATGAAACATTTTGAAGATATATATATAAACCAATAAAACAGTATTTTATTCCAAGAAATTTATATATAAAAAAGAAAAAATAATAACAAATATAAATAACAGATCAAAGATGACCTAAACCTGCTGAGATGAGTATAAAAAACAATGTATCCCTTAAAAAGAGTAAATATAAATCTACAGAATTGCAAGATGCACAGCTGAGTCAGAAGGGTTAACTCAGACACTAGGTAAAAAATAACAACAAAGTGTAAGAGTATTATCCCCACCAGACTTAGAAACAAATATAACAACTGTAACAAATGATACAAAACTAAGTATGTGCTGTAAAATACCTTTCCTCGGTGTGGGCCCCCCACCGAGGTACATAAAAAATAAATAAAAAATGATGAGTGGTGCGAGCTGGAGGCAGTGATGATATGCTTCAAGAGATGTTAAAGTCCAGCGAAAGGCACACAGGATTCCTCAAAATGCTATGAAGTATATCGCGGTCGGGATCTTCAAAAAAGACCGCGATATATACAGAATACACTCACTGCCGCCGCTCTCAATAGCTTCGATGCCAGGTAAGTTCATCCGATGGGGAAAAAAGCGCCAAAGAACAAAAACCGCTTCCTGCTCTCACTCCTCAATCACAGCAGGTGTAAGTTCATCCGATACACCCGTCTACGCGTTTCGTCCCTCCCACGGGACTTTTTCAAGACAGGAACTGCAGTGTGAAATAACCCAATATATATACCCCACCATCAAATAAAGCAGGATTGGATTCACTTGCATATACATAGCAAGTCTTAACAAGGTATAGATGAGATTAAATATAAAAGAAATAAATATAAAAGCATTCAAAAATAAAACCTAATATTCAGGTCAGGCAACAGATACAAAACACAATATGTGTAACATATATACCCCACCCCTCCCTCCCCCCCAAAAAAACACAAAAAACACAAAAATGCAACATATTAAAGATTATTTTTTAAAATAAAGGGACAGCAATTAACTGTAATATCTCAAAATAATTCTAGTTCCTCATTTAAGCCATTAGGTGACATAGAGTTCAGCTTAAAGATCCACACTGATTCAGCCTTTATTAATTCACGTTTTCTCTTCGCTTCATCCTGATGGAAGGGGATATGTACTATTCCCATTAATTTAAGACCAACAGGATTATTATCATGAAAGATAGTGAAGTGGCAAGCCACCGGGGATCTACTATCATTACGTAATATGGCTGTCCTATGACCTGAATATTAGGTTTTATTTTTGAATGCTTTTATATTTATTTCTTTTATATTTAATCTCATCTATACCTTGTTAAGACTTGCTATGTATATGCAAGTGAATCCAATCCTGCTTTATTTGATGGTGGGGTATATATATTGGGTTATTTCACACTGCAGTTCCTGTCTTGAAAAAGTCCCGTGGGAGGGACGAAACGCGTAGACGGGTGTATCGGATGAACTTACACCTGCTGTGATTGAGGAGTGAGAGCAGGAAGCGGTTTTTGTTCTTTGGCGCTTTTTTTCCCCATCGGATGAACTTACCTGGCATCGAAGCTATTGAGAGCGGCGGCAGTGAGTGTATTCTGTATATATCGCGGTCTTTTTTGAAGATCCCGACCGCGATATACTTCATAGCATTTTGAGGAATCCTGTGTGCCTTTCGCTGGACTTTAACATCTCTTGAAGCATATCATCACTGCCTCCAGCTCGCACCACTCATCATTTTTTATTTATTTTTTATGTACCTCGGTGGGGGGCCCACACCGAGGAAAGGTATTTTACAGCACATACTTAGTTTTGTATCATTTGTTACAGTTGTTATATTTGTTTCTAAGTCTGGTGGGGATAATACTCTTACACTTTGTTGTTATTTTTTACCTAGTGTCTGAGTTAACCCTCCTGACTCAGCTGTGCATCTTGCAATTCTGTAGATTTATATTTACTCTTTTTAAGGGATACATTGTTTTTTATACTCATCTCAGCAGGTTTAGGTCATCTTTGATCTGTTATTTATATTTGTTATTATTTTTTCTTTTTTATATATAAATTTCTTGGAATAAAATACTGTTTTATTGATCTGTACCCCGAAACCTATAGTTTAGTTCTTCAGGATTTTTTTTTCTTTACTGATTTTTTTTTATTTTTATTGGGCTTGAAGCCATTAAAAGCTCAAAGTTACAGCTATTATTACTGTTTTACTGCATCACACCAATACTTTAAAGGAAACCTATCCCCCCTTTTTTTTTTAAATGCTAGCTTTTTATTATAGCATCTGCATGTATTCTTTTATAATGTCTAAATATAAAGCAATGCCTTTTCTTCATTGGTCCCTTTGGTGTACACTTGCTCCATGGGGGCAGCCATCTTAAGTAATCTTTAATCAGAAGCATCACTTATACAATGTCCATGCTGTTAACGGAGAGAGAGTTCACATTCACTCATTCAGATCTGCACAAGTGACTGGCATCTCAAAAAATACGGGGTTATCTGCTCCAAGAGATTTTAAAGTCTGTCACCACACAAAATTGTCAGGAGATGTATAATAACAAGTCATCTTTTATTTTAATTTATAGTAAAAATCTAGTTTTTTCCCTTTTTTTTTTTTTTTAAATATGGTTTAATCTCTTCATATAGAACACTTTTTTTTAGCCTAATTCTTATTGAATCATTGTTCTATAAACCTGACTCCAGTCTTGTTTTCTCTGTATTAAAGAGACACTGGAAGCACTTTCATCTTATTGAAGTCGTTATAGTGCCTGCAGTTTTGCCCTCCTCCTGTTCTACCACCAAAACCCAATATTAAACTAATTACAAGGCTTGGTAATATGGCTTTAAGCCATGCATTTTTAAGCCTTCTGGATATGAGAGCATGAAATCTTACTTACCGATTCTCACACCTTAACATACCGTGCCGTTGCGTGCATGTGCATTGTTATAGTCTGTCACAGAGAATCATTGAATACACAGATTCTCTATGGAGGAATTGTAGGTGTATTGTGTTGAGCTCCGCGCATGTGACTACATTCCCCTCTATGAGGAGCATTGGATTGGCCCATCATCTGGGAGATTGCAACCCATGGCGGTCGTGATTGCGCTAAGGGAAACTCGGCGCTGGAGAAAAGGTACGTAATTTGTTTAATTTTCATATTTTTTCGATTTTATTTTTGTACAGTTGAAGGGAGACAAAATGATAAGTGACTGCAATGTTCCTTTAATGCTTAGCCTAGGCTGCATTCATCTTTATAACCATTAAAATTTGTCAGTGTTTTGTGGTGGCATGTTTTATTGGTTAAAATGACCATTATTGCAGTGACACTGACTCTGACCCAGTAGTTCTTTTTGTTTACTGTAAATGCCTTTTGACAGTATCTCTTGGTTAGTCCAGACATTAGCAATTCATTACCTAAGAGCAATAATGTCACAACTATATTGTAAGAACATGCACACAATAGGTAATATCAAAATGATAAAACCCCGGCCTGATGAACGGAACGACAACGGAACACCAGGAGCCATGTATTGTCCTGATTGGCTTTCAGTCTTTAACCACATAACCAATCATTCACCTTATTGGCTTCCCATCTTTACCCAAATAACCAATCGGACTTACTTACTTACTTACTAACCTACATTGAAACAAAATTGCAAGGTTGGCTATGAACATTTTATTTTTACACTGTATAATTTAATGTAGACTTATACACAACAATCAGTGCTAACATGACCAGAATATTGAAGATTTGACGCAGTGTCACTTTTATGCCAAGTTATTCAGGGCTTTTATATCAAGACTTGTGTTTTTTTTTTTTTGTTTCTTTTTTTTGTATCCTCTGCAAAAACAAACCACCTCAAAGCAAATATTCAGTGTGTTTTGGTTTGTTTGGAAGAGAGAGAGAAATATTTATTTACTATTGAGAGCAGACGGCTGATGTTCTGCGTAAATGGTGTAAAAGACTGTCATGTGATATTCCTCGCTACCACATGAGTCATGCATACACTTTGCAACGTATATTTACACCCGTCTTTCCGGCTTATTTTGCTGAATGTAAATGGCCGGCCTGTTTCATAACAGGGCATCGCTGAAGCAGGGGCTGTATGGTTCTTTTTTGGGGGAGGATGAATTGTTGCTATACTGTTGGTAATATTAATGATAAATAAATCCAGTTTAGGCTGCTCAGTCTCCCATTTAGAAGTATGTTTGTTTTTCTATGTTCCCCTTCCCTTCATTCTATAGGTCTGACTCGGGGACAGTGGAAACAGTGAAACCACTTTCTCAACTCGCCACTTTCACCCCACATCCTCCAAAATAAGTATTTCAGAAAGATCACATTTTTGTGAGATACTCGCACTGATCGTTTTGCAATTTAACTGGATTTCCAACACAGTCAAAAGATATATTGAGACAACATACAGGCTACTTTATCTTGGTAGGTTTCCTACACTTAAGAAAAGGTACAGCTGCCGTTTTGAAGTTTTGTGAATTCCCCCAACCGTGATTAGTGACAGCTGTTGCAGGAAAGAGCATAGTCTATGGATGTTCTGACGGTCTTGCAGTATCCTCTACATACCTCAGTGTTGTATTCTCTCACATGTGAGTACAGCGGTGACATCCGAGTTGCACAAAATTCGTCCGAATGTACATTCGGAATGAAATGAATTGCACATGTCTACTAGGTAACAAAGTGCAATGTCAATTAGAACCAAGGCCAGTAAGGTATTGTTGTGTATAAAAAGGATATTAATTCTCGGGATGAGAATATCATTTTGCCTCTTTATAAATCACTGGTAAGACCACATCTTTACTATGCTGTGCAATTTTGGGCACCTGTCCTAAAGAAGGATATTATCGCTCTAGAAAGAGTGCAGAGGCGGGCTACAAAATTAACAAAAGGAATATAACATTTTAGCGTTAACGAATTTAAACCTCTTTAGTTTAGAAAAAGTCGCCTCAGAGGGGATAACATTATACAAATATATCCGGGGCCAATACAAACCATTGTGTGGAAATCTATTCACAAACCGTACTATACATAGGACACGAGGTCATGTATTTAGACTGGAAGAAAGAAGATTTAGTCTAAGGCAAAGGAAGGGTTTTTTACCGTACGAACAATAAGGATGTGAAATTCTCAGCCCGAACAAGTGGTTTTATCAGAGTCCGTACAGATGTTTAAACAGCAACTAAATGCATACTTCCAAAAAACAGAATATTCAATGATATAATTTTTCAACTGTAGGGTAATAGCTTCTTGATCCAAGGATCAGTCTGACTGCCATTCTGGGGTCAAGAGTGATTTTTTTTTTTTTTTCTTAGTTTGTTGCAAAATTGCAAGTTCTTCAAACTGTTTGTTTTGTTTTTGTTTTTTTGGTTTTGGCCTTCTTTTGGATCAACTGCAAAAACCAAATGTGAGGAAGGCTGAACTTGATGGACACCTGTCTATTTTCAGCCTATGTAACTAACTATGTAACACATCCCAAGGGGTTTAAGGTTTTTGTTCTCTCTCATTCCATTTGCTGTGAAATACACAGACAAACATATATGCATACATGAACAGTTACTTTCCACTGCTAACAGCATTAAAGGGATACTCTAGACATTATAACTACTTCAACCATTTGAAGCCGTTATAGTGCCTGCAATACTCTGGCACCATGCCCTGTCTGATTGCTAAACAGATTCTAAGTGGATAAGGTTCCCTACCTCGATGGACAGAATGGCTAAGGCAGAGTTACGCCAGATCTGGTCATACCAGCAATAGCACGCAGTCCTCTGCTAATAATGAATTCAAGTCGTTATGGAACCTAGAGTGTCTCTTTTTAATTTTGTCTCTCTGCCCTTTCTGATATGCCAGTAGCCTCTATTTCACAGCACTCTACAATCATTTTAAGGCCAAGTGAGCTGCAGAACATGAAATGAAAATGGAGAGAAGGACCAGATTGAGGGAGCTTGTAATATGGAAAGTTTTTGTCTTCATTCTTTAGTCATTTGGGGCTTGTTTTTTTACTAACTAAAAGGCAACCTGGTCTGTCTTATGAGACATTAGTATGATTGAGTCAGTGAAGAGGTATGTGACGATGGTAGTGAAGAAGACATTCCGTATAAGGCTGTGATGGCCGGGAGGATGGATTGCAGATGTTACCAGCAGAAGGTCTCTGTTACATTGTGTCAAACTTTCCCCACAGAGAAAGCTATTTCTTCTTAGCTGTGGCTGACCAGAGCTGGGCCAAGTTTAACCACAGTACTGTTTGTCCAGATTGTGAAAAACGTCCCTATGAAATAAACAAGGAAGCTTACAATTTCTGTCTTTCCTCTGAATTTCACACCTAACGCAATACTGGGCCGTGAGTGTTAACATTTGTTTTTAGACAATGGTACCGCTTTCTTCACACACTCTCTCTTCCTGTCTCTTTTTCTACCACACTCTCTACTTGTCTCTTTTTTTCTATGCCTTTTTGGTCTATCTCTCTCTCTGTCTTTCTTGCTCTTTCTCTTCCTCTTCATCTTTCAGTGTTATGTGTCTCTCTCTTTTGCTGTCTCTTTGTGTCTCTCTCTCTTTAACTGTCAGTGTGCATTTCTCTTTCACTGTCTGTGGGCGTTTCTAATTTGTTCACTGTCTTTGCGTGTGTGTCTCTCTTTAATGGTCTGTGTGTGTATTTCTATTGTTCACTGTCTGTGGGCGTTTCTCTCATCCACTGTTTTTGTGTGCCTCTCTCTTTCACTGTCTGTGTGTGCGTGTCTCTCTCTTTAACTGTCTTTGTCTGTCTCTTTCCGCTCCTCTGTTTTCTCATTTTTGTTTGAACCCATGCATTGGAATGGATAAGAGGTTTTTATGCTGTCCAGCATCTCTTGTTCAGACCTCTACATTGCATAAGGTATGTGTAGAAAGAGCACTAATTTGGGACCTAAGTCTTAAAGGAGTCCATGAAGCACCATCACTACTACAACATACTGTAGTGGTTATGGTGGCAGGAGTCTCCTGGATCAAACCTTATCCCACCGTGAGGGGTTAAACCATTTTGAATGGTTTGACACTTACATGGGATCCTTGGGTACCCCCGACCCTCCAAACAATTCTCAGTAAAGTGCAGGATGAATGGACAAGATTGGACAGAATTTATTGGTTGAGATGTTCAGCTGGGCCAAAACTGATATATCTGCAGCAATTGGCGAACTGATTATATTGGAATTCCAATCTATTCAATTCTAATGCAATCCAAACATACCATGTGACAATATATCAGGACCACCATCGATGGTGTATGTTTGTATCAGAGTTTGTGTTTTTGTGTATGTGTACAGCAGAGTGTGAGTAGCTGTGTGTGTGTCTGTGTAGCAGTGTGCATGTGTTTATCAGAGTGATTTTTTTTTTTGTATATGTTTAAGAGTGTGTCTTTAGTTCTTTGTGTGTGCGTGTCTTAATGTGTATTTGTGTGAGTGCCTGTCAGTGTGTATTGAGTTGTGTCTGTGTGTATCCATGAGACTGCTTGCTTGTGAGTAGCCTTACGGTGTATTGGGTGGCCAGAGCTGTAGTTTTGTGAGGGGGGGGGCTCCATAAATTCTGATGGCGACTTTGCAAAGTAGGGACTACTTTGTCTTATGGACAAACCTGAGGTTGACATGGTGTATCTCCACCATCAATTTGTGTCCAATCCCAGGCTTAGGGATTCAGGCATTGTTTCACTCCTTGCTCTAGCCCAGTCTTTTTCAGGCAGATGAAGCATCAGGAGCTGAAGAAGATCTGCTGGAATTGGTGGTGGCTGCAAGGGACAGCTTTGGTTAAGTAAACCGATCTTTCACTGCACTCTACAGCCCCCAGACCCTAACTGGAGATGTCACATTTGGGGGTCTCTGCAAAATATGAAAAAGACCCCTGTAAGTGCAAAGGGGACTTTAAGAATGTTTGCCCCGACTCTATACTTATTTGCTCACATGCTTTGGCTCTATTTATACACTAACCACTCAACCAGGTGATGTCCAGATGATGCACAGACCAGTTGGCTTGTCAGAATGAATATATACACTGGGTGAAATTATCAGGACTGTCCAACCAAATCAGGACATTTGGCAAGATTGCAGTCTGTTTACATGAATTGCCAATCTTCCCAACAGTCGACAATTTAAAAGTGTTTGTGACTTTTGTCATTATTGCATCTGTTTTACACTCAAAGTAGCGCTGTTGCATTCATTGTGATAAGTGGTTGCCAGGAGAAACTTGTTGGGTTAGCTGTGCTAATGGCATATCGGATGGGCACAGTGGATTATTGACCGTCACAAGCAAGGTTGCCTAGTGCAAAACAATAAGAATAAACATAATTTCTATACAAAGAAAATAATTATCAATTATATAAAAACTAGAATAAACCTTTTAAAGGGAAACGCTAACCGTTGTATTCATTTTATATCCTTGGCTAATGTGATTGGGCAAGGTTTCCTTTAAAGGGGCACTCTCAGTAACATATCTAACCCAGCTCATCAAAGTAGTTATAGTTAATGGAATTCCCTGGCACTGTCCCTATGTTTGATATAATAAGACCGTATAGGAATCTTTGCATGTAAACGGAGGTTCTTACATTAAACTATTCCAAAACAGACTGACATTAAAGGGGGGGATAGAGCCAGGGGAGTCTAGGTAAAATTATCACTACATTAAACCGCAGTGATCACTCCGCTTAGAATGCCTGTCTTAAGCTACATTTCCATTCATCAGATGAACATAGCAATTTGTTCCGGATTTCCTGCCTTGTTCTTAGTGTCTTGACACGGAATGGACAATCTGCATGATTTCCTTTTAATTGATAGCAAGACTTTTCCCAACACATTCTTTCCTGAATTGGTATGTGGGTGTGCGTGCATTAATATTATGACATTATAATCTATCATTTCTCCAGCATGTTACAAACTATTTGTTTGTAGCTTAGTGCTTTTACTTACAGGGCGTGATACTTGTGAGACAGGGAAAGTACTATCCAAGGTGTTTAAAGACAAGATAAAATTATCTATATAATAACCAGTTTCTTTTGTTCCATGGTAAAAACACTTAGTAGATCACTAAATGACATACAATACTGGGTCCCTCCACAGTTACAGGGTGTTCTGCCTCTTGGTCTCCAACTCTCCATCCAGTATTATTCTGTCTTTTGAAATATTAATTTTAATTCAACTTTAACGCTATTGGTCAAATGGGACCCTCTACAAAAATTCCATCAGAAGGAATTTAGATTCCCAACAAAGACAGATACGTGTAACCGGTAAACCACAGGATGGCACCGGGGGACTGATGGCACCATAACTACTACAGAGCACTGTAGTGAATATGGTGCTTACAGTGTCTCTATAATTGAAAGAAAGGTATAGAGGGATACACTGGGGTCCTCTGTTTATCTGCACCACTGGATAAGATGTAGGATGTTATAGTTCATATAATATCATTCAGCACATGGGCTGTCCTGATTTTATGATTATTTATTATTTTTAAATTTATTTATTTTTGCATTTTTTTTTAACTTAAAGCCACTTTTAACTATGACCTGAATTTTTTTTTTTCCTGAGGAATCCCATGTCGAACATAAAGTAGGAAATGTGGAAAAGAAATCTGCAGACCAGATGTGACTTGTAAAGGTTTATTTACTAAACAGTGAATTGTAAAACATTGCTCGTTTGGGCCAAAAAAGTAATTTTGGAACATGTTTCTTTTCATCTGGCTCCTTTTGTAACTTTCTGCGCTGATCCCGTGAAGGATTTTAGCTCGGTAGCTGACAGGAGCCTTTTGTCTTGCTCTGCTGTGCCAGTAATAAAATAGTTCAGGGTTTCCAATAAAGGAAAGGCTTGCAACTCTGTGATTGTTTTTAAATGGATTCAGTTTTTGGCAGGTAAGAGGAATGTAACGGCTGGAATGTTCTTATTTCATTAAACTAACAAACAATATCCAGATCTAGAAGGATCGGCCTAGATGCTCGTGGCTCTTGGTAGTTTGAATAAGGTACGCCCTGGGCTCAGCCTTCTTGGTGCCCTATACACATACCTCACAATTTATGCATCTAATGGATCTTATGTACACAGAGTTCTAAACACCGTTATTGTGGTTTATAAACCAATTACTGTATTGTTGCTGTGGAGCTCTGTTATACACTCAGACGCACTAACCATATTGAGCTCCTAGAAAAGAGGGCTATTGGGATAGAAAAGTGGGACAGAGGGATTTGTGCCCAAAATAGGGACTGTCTCTCCTAAATAGGGATACTTGGGCGGTATGCCAATACTCACTCTGTACTGTGAGAGTACACTCCAACCTTCTTTGTTAAAAGGACACTATAGTTACCAAAACAACTTTAACTTAATGAAGCAGTTTTGGTGTATCAATCAGCACTTGCATTCTCACTGCTCAATTTTCTGCCGTTTAGGAGTTAATAATCACTTTGTTTATGCAGCCCTAGACATACCTCCCTGCATGTGACTTGCATAGCCTTCCTAAACACTTCCTGTAAAGTGAGATCTAATGTTTGTACTTCCTTAATTAAACTGTCTGTTTGATTTAATATTTCTAATCTCATTCACTGTTAATAGCTTGCTAAACCCTGCAGGAGCCTCCTGTATGTGATTTTAAAGTTTAATTTACAGATCATTGGATCAAAACTTATAAAGTTAACATCTGATTGGAAATGACACTTTCAAATTTATTTTATTTTTAATGCAGGCGGCGTTAGTCAAAGCCAAGGGTGTGGCTAGAGCTGCATAAACAGAAACAAGTGATTTTGTTGACTATTATGTCTGTTTTATTTTTATGTTTCAATTTAATGGATTTAAAAGAAACAAATAAAGAAAACACATGCAACATTAATTTTTTTTGCCATAAGGAACACCTATTTTATCACAAAGATAGGTCAGCAGTGTTGTAGTAACTGATTAAACGTACCGGTACAGTAGTGTATGCATTGCCGGTCTGGGATGGATCCTGTGAAACCACTGTATCTTCGATTATCTCACTGATGTGAAATTAGACAACTTGATTATCGATTGCTGCACAGTAAGCAGACATACTGAATATTATTTATAAGAAATAATGTCAACACAGGGTTAATAACGAAGTAATGATAAGTCATATGACAATGCAATGGTTTG